AAAAAAAGAAAAAAAAAAAGAAAGAAATATATTTTGGGTAGAAAAGTCCACTTTTCTTGCAAGTCTTTGGTGAACTGTGATTAGGATAGCTAAGAAATGCAGCCCAAAAAGTTGGTGGCAGAGTGCAGGGTGGGCAGGCAGAGTGATGATGAAGGGACATTGTGCTCCCAGGGGACAGCCAGGGAGGTGGCAGAGGAAATGACGGGGCTGCGGGCACGTGTTTGGGGAAGCGTGTCCGGCTGCGCCTCCCTCCCTGCTCTGCTGGGAAAGGCAAAGGGAGAGAGAGATGCTGGGCATCCTCCTTAAATCCCTGCTGTTGTCCCTGCCACAGCCCGAACGTGGGAGGGGAAGGCACGGAAAAATCTCATTTCCCATGTGTGCACAGTGCCCCCCTTGCCTTCTCACCAGCTCTCATCTTCCCTTTCATCCTGTCCCTTCACCCCTTCCTTTTCTCTCTCCTGCTGAATGGAGCTATTTAGTGGTGTACCCTCCTTTGCAGAAGCTGTTTCATCCCTGCTTGCACAGTTTTTAAAACTGCTTTCTCCACCCACCCTCAGTCTTGGTTTTTCATCTGTGCTGCTTCTTTAGGTTAACCATCTTTACAAAAGGAAAAGGCAGAGGAATCCAGAAACACCCTGAGTTTGGTTGCCATTACTCCAGTCTTTCCTCTTATCTTTTGTCTCCTCCTAATTTCATTATTATCACTGCTGTTATTATTATAATAGCACTAGAAATGAGCTTCCTCATTAAACACTCCCTTTTTGCCATTCTGAATACCACTGTAGAAGCCAGAGGGGGGAGGAGGGGGGACTGAGAGAGTCCTTTTGCTGTTAATGCAGAATGAGACTCACACAAGGAACAAATGTAGTCCATCTCAAAAGCAAATGAGAATTGTTTGGAGTTTTTTATCAGCACTGAAGAAAACTGTCAAATAGACTCGTTTCAACTACCCCTCAATGCCTTAGTCATGAAAACATACAGCATCTATTAAAGCACACAAAAATACCCTTAGGGATGGTTCTGGATCAGCCTGGTCCAGAGCATCCTGGCTGTGACCACAAGGAATGGCTCGTCCCTTGGGCTCACCCCCTGCAGCACCCAGACATGGCAAAGGAGGGAATTGGCACCTTTAACAGAATTTCTTTGTATTTTATATTTTCAGGCCAGAAACAGAATGTGGTACATTAGCATTGATTCTGTGGTTTCATACCATTTGTTTTAAAGTAGTACAGAAAGAAAGGGGAAAAAAGCAGAAAGGAAAATATATCATCCCTTATATACATTCAAAGCATACACAGCAACAGTTCCTTCAGCACTGGGTGCACTGTGAGTGGGTATTGATATTAGCAGCAAGAGAATGCATATTAGAGATCTGTAACACTGATACTGCTAACCAGCTCAGGGAAGGTAGTGCTTTTGCTTGCCTTTCACCCTGTCTTGTGTGCAAAAAGACAGTTAAATAAAAAAAATGTTAATTACCTAATTATAAAAGAGAGATTAGTCCCATTAAGTGGAACATCAAAAACGGAAAATTTAAAATATTTCCCTTCCTTTGATATTCCCTGAGCATTTAATGGGCAAAACACTGTTCACAACTCACCCCAAAAACATCTTTTTTTTTTCTTTTTTTTGTCCTTTTGAATTTTGGAGCCATTCAATAGGCCATAATAAGGCAGCAAAAGAGAGGGAGTAACTTATCTCTGGGCAGTTGTTGAACATGAAATTTGGAAGAAAGAATTGGGGAAAATCTGTCCCTGCAGTTGCTCTAAATGCAGTACAAATATAATAACTCTCATATACACCAATGCAAGTAGCCTGGAGCAGGATGAATAACTGGATTTGCAATAGCTGGATTGAAATGACATACAGGCTCTTTTATTTCTTTATTGCCCACATATATTTCATGTAAATTTCCAGCCTGGATGTGGGCACCCTGTGGAGTGCCTTCATGCCACGTAACAGCAGTGACACCCTCTTTTCTCCAATAAATATTCAGAGGGTGTCAAGATCTCCAGAAATCCTCTGGGGATCACCAGGAGGTTGTTTCTAGAAGGGATTATCCTTAGAAAAGATTTCTGCATGAGGGTTTTGAAAGACATCCTTTAATAAGTGCTGTGCTCTCCGTGGAGGGATCCATCCATCATCCTGCTCAGGGTGGCAAGCCATTGGTGGCCATCACCTCTCTCCAGGAGAAATGGCAACAGGCAAACCCCAAATCAGCTCTCACTCAAGAAATCACTGCACCTTCAAAGAAAAATGCTCCGTTCCATTTACTTGGGTTGTCAATGTGAGATGCATGGAGCACAGAGGTGAATAAATTCCAAAGGCAGAATTGCTCAAATCTTTGCAAACGTAGCTGGAGGTTGCTAACACCAATAAACAGCAGGGATGACTCCAGAGGGGTGCAGTCACTCGTGTGTTTCAAATACAACCCACAAAAATGCTAAAAATACACGGAAATACAACCACGGGATGATTGTTTGTTATTTTTTGGTATCAGGCTTGTCTCAGGTTCACAGGGGCAAAACCATGACTGCACCAACACATTTCCTGATAGCAACAGGGGGTCATTATCAAAATAAACCCAGTTCATATTTTGTTTTACCATATGCAGACAGTATTTTAACAACATTGGTTGATTTTGGAAGCTTCCTGGCAAGTGGCTGTAACCAAGTGCTGCCTGGGGGCTTGGGGAACACATAGCCCAGTCCAAAGTTAGAGAGCCAATTTTTCACAGTTAAATTCCCTATTGATTTCAGAGAAGGGTTTAATGGGGAAAGTAAATATAGCTGGGCCCACAGTTAGCATGGCATAAAGTACTTTTGCTTCAAGCATGGTCAGGAACCCAAAGAGAGGAGGGTCTCTCCACCTTCCCTCTGCCCCTCCTGTTAGGTTTGTACATGCACACTCAACTCCTCAGGTCACTTGGGAGTTTCAGGATGGATCAGGCCCTTGTGGGCTTGAGGCACAGAGAGAGAAATGTGCATTTGTTTAAAGAGAGAAAAGCCTGGGTTTAACAGTGCTTGTTTGTTTGAAAGCTGTGGGTGATTTTGCAGTGGCTCTAGGAAAAAAAAAAAAGCAGTTGTTTTTCATTAAATTTTCTGTGACACTGTCCTCCCCCAGTACATAATCTCATTGCTTTCACAGATGACATTATAGTCTCACTGAGTAAAAATTTTGATTAAGATGTTATTTTCATGTTTTATAATACATGGTATGAGTTGTACCAAATAGAGGAAAATAAGTTCTGACTCCTTAAAAATAGTTTCAGTCAGAAAAGAAACACAAAATTCACTCTTTGCATTTAAAATTAATGGCTAAAACCTGCTATGCAAGAAAACAAATTATATCTTCTGTGCCTGTTTTTCTGCTTTATAATCCTGCTGTACCCTTGTAAGAATAGATAGCACTTTAATGCAATGAAAAAGGAAAAAAAAAAAACCTGTGTTACATTAAAATACATGTAAAATTTTGGAATTGCTCCTCTCTTGGTGGTAACCTGAGGATAGAGAAACATGTACAAAGCGTAGAAATGTCACCCAGTTCATTATCCATAACATTTTATTTACATGTAATGCTGTAGGAAGGAAATTTCAAGATGCTCTGCCTGATGTTATAAAACTCCCTCATCATCAATTAGTGTGAGAGGAGCTGCTGAAAAGATCAATCGTTTGCTTGTTCACATTCTGGAATGAAAAATCCAAAATACAAGGAAAGGAAACCTTTATTTAAGGGCAGTCAGATAAAACAGCTGTGGGATTCTACATCATGAAATCACTGCTTATATCCATCAATGCCATTTTTCAGTCCTTGGTAAGGAGGGTACATTTGCCTCCAGCCTCTGCAGAGGTTTTGGGGTTGTTTTGTTAGTGAAGGCTGGTGCTAGAAGGGAGGGACACGAGCTGGGCTTTGCCAGCACTTTACTACAGGACCCAGAAGGGTGCTCTGAAAACTCTCTGTCCTACCCTGACAGTGGATTTGCTCTTGAGATTCACCACTGAGACCCAAATAATTGCTTTTGCTCTTCTCCGTTCAACATGGCACCACAGGGCACAAAACAAGGGGGTCTTTGCTCTTGGCATAGCTCAAAACAAGCATAAAAGTGGTTAATGCAAGTAAAAAGCCTTTAATTTAGCACTTTTTTTTTGTTTGTTTTTTGATATTAGAGAAAATTCTGATGAGCACATTTTGGCAGTGTTTCACTTGTTTGGGTTTTGTTGGTTGTTTTTTGTTAGTGAGTCTTAACAATATCATCGGTTTTGGTAAAAAATACTTTTAGGGGTTATAATGCAGTTGTTATGGATCTTACAGCAACTAACAAGTGAGCTGTACTTAAAAATCCTCAGAAATCCTGTCCTAGTGACACAGTCAAAACTTCAGCCTTTCTGAGGTGCTCTGGCTCCTTGTTGTACTGACGTCCAGTTACAGGTAGCACATTAATAAAAATAGAATTCCAGTGTCATGCTTCATATCTTCAGCAACATGATGGACGTGAATGTGTGCTAATTACAATGGGAAGCCACCTGGGTAATTTTAAGCTTTCTATTTTACGTGGCTTCTTAGCTCCTTGACTTTTCATTTCAACACTCAGCATGAAGAGAGAGGTTAAACTGTTGCATTTTGTATACAGGGAACCATTCATGTAATATACACCAGTCTGTAAAAACTGTAAATGCTATTTTTTTTTTTTATTTTAAACAGTTTTCTTAGTTTACAAAAGATCAATAATTGGTACCTTTTTTACACTCTCAGATTCCTGAATATTGACAGATCTTCAAAGGGAGTATTAGCATATGAAACCTTAAGATTGGCTGTCCTGAAGGTTTTTAAGACACGATAAAGCTAAAATATCAAGTCTCTCGGACAGCCCCTCTTAAACCATTTGGGCAGGGGTGCATGTCAGAAATCACCAGCAAAGCCCAGCAACCCCCCCCACCCCGTGCCACTGTCTGCCTGCACGCTGTTATTTGGTTGCACACTGTTTAAATCCCAAAGGAAAATCACACCTCGCATTCCCTCGCTGGCTGCTGGTGACAGGAGCAAGATCCGTACTCATTAATGATCACCAGGGCTCCCTCAATGTGGTTGGGTTTGTAATCAACATAATACTCCTGGGCTGACATGGCAGCCATTTGGTGCATGGTCTGTTTTTGCTTCTGCTTCCTGCGCTGTGTGACAAAGCACTGTCTTAGTTGCCTTAAGCCGGCTGGGAAGCACTTCCAGGAGACGTACAACACCAAAACCACGATGAGGAAGGAAAAAATCAGTGCCATGGTGCCCGTCACCACCTTGTGAATCTGCACGGCGTTCTCGGAGTTCTCGCCGGGCATGGTGATGGTGACGGCGTACGTGGTCCGGTCCTCGTCGCCGTCGGGCGCGTCGTAGGTGGCGGTGGCCGAGCCATAGCCCAGCGTCTGCTCGCTGTTGTTGGTCACCGGGGAGAAGGTGTTGACGCTCGTGGGGTCGGCGTCCTCGCACAAGTGGAAGGCATACACGGCGTCCAAAACATCCTCTCCCTGGGCGTACTCGGGGGTGGCACAGAGCAGGTTGCTGTCGTAGCGACCCTGGAAGTTGCTCAGCCAGGAGGCCAGGGCGCAGACGTTCCGGCTGCAGTCCCAGGCGTTGGCAGAGAGGCTGATGCTCGTGAGGGACTTCCAGGAGTCGAGGACTCGGGAGTCAATGTAGGTCAGCCGGTTGGAGTCCAGCTGCAGGGATTTGAGATGAGGTACACTTTCGAAAACGTGAGGTTCGATGTATTCGATTTCGTTGCCGGAGAGATCCATCTTTTCAAGTTGCCATATCCAGTCCAAAGTGTTTACTACAATGGTAACTTTATTCCTTCGCAAGCAGAGGGAGTGCAGGGAGATGAGCCTGGGAAAATGGGCTAAATTCACTTTCACCAAGTCATTGTGCTCGAGGTGCAGCTCAGTGAGTTTGAACAAGCCAGCAAAAGAGTTTCGAGCCAGGCTCTTTAACTGATTGTATCCTATGTCTAGAAACTTCAGGCTGCGACAGTCCTGAAAAATTCTCACCGGCACGAACTTGATGGCGTTCGACCGCATGTGCAAAGTTGTCAGTTTTCTCAGCCCGTGGAACAGGTCAGGCTCCAAAGACTGCAGGTTGTTGTATGATAAATCCACACTGCGCAAGTTTGGCATGGGGCGGAAAGTGGTGTTGGGCAGTTGGGTTATTTTGTTGGAACTCAGGGTGAGCTCTTTAACTCGCCGCAATTTTTGAAAGGCATTCCCCTCCACTGAGCAAATGTGATTGTGATCCAGATAGAGCCACGTGAGCTGCATTAACCCTGTGAACTGTCCATCATGCAGCTCTGAAAGGCTGTTGTACCGCAGAGACAAGCCCATCATGCCCGACAGGTTGCGAGGCATCTCTGTGAGATTCAGTGATTCACAGTACAAAAGCCTGCCCTCACACCGACAGAGCTGTGGACACCCACTATTCACAGCTGGAAGCATTTTAGAAAAGATACCCAGCGTACACAATATCAACCCCGGGGGCTTCCTCAGCAGCCAGTTTAAACAGAGACCAATAAGAAGGAAATCCATTAGCAAGAATATTTCCAAATATGCTTGAGAATGTCCATTGAGTCTTTTCAAATTCTACATCATATTTTATTTAAGGGAGAAAAAAAAACCAAAAAGGCAAACCAACGAAACAAAGCCCGAAAACCAAAGCAAAACAGCAAACAGAACAAACACAGAGGCAAATATTTCACTTTATAGCATGCAGGAGCTGTGCAGCATTAAAGTTCACAGACATTCAAAGGTAAAATGATAGTGATTTTGTTCATGTTAAATGCTGCAGCAAAGGAAAAAAAAAAATCTTTCTTCATGAAAGAATTTAATTAAAAAGTGTCTTACCCACCCTTTTCCAGAGAGTGACAACCTCCATTCAGTTGCTTCCTTTGTGTTTGGACTAATTATATGCAGAGCTAAAAAAGACCCCTCTGTGCTACAAATTCAGTCCCTTTCAATGTTGTGCAAGGCTGGCAAGCTCACAATGTCTCACTTCGCTTCTGCTCAACGAGCGAAAGGCTTGTCCAGCTAGCTTTTGAGCTGCCTCCTAGGACCTGCAAGTTTCAGAACTATGTACATGAGCTTGATCTTCTCCTTCTCCCTCTGTCCTTTCCTCTGCAGTTAACACTGTGGCGTGAAAAAAACTCCAAACTCTTTACTAACGACTCCACAGGATTTGTCAATCTGTTTAATGTCCATCATTTGCAACGACCATGGACCGGCACAACCTTTACTCCAGAGAGAGGTTACCATTCATTCACAGACCGGCTAAGGGTCGCTTTATTTCCCATTCTTTGTTCGCTTTGCTTGTTAGGTGATGCTTAGAGCAGAGAGAGACAGCAAGAATCCCTTCCCTTCAGCTGAGCAGTATGTTGCTAGAGCATGCAGAGGCACCCAGTGTTCACTGAGTGTCGTAAGCTGCTCATGATTGTACGCCTGCACTGTGCATCTCAGACATGGGCAGATTGAAAAGGGGTGGGCATAAAACCAACATCGGAGCGAACCAGGAAAGTAATATATGCTCTTTGATGAAATGGAAAATACTTTAAGCCTATCTCGCCATTTCTCAAACAGGCACGCACACACAGCCGCACAAATCATCAAAAGCGAGGCAGTGCTAAGTAGGAAGCTTGAGAATTAGGATTCTTTCTGTTTTTTTGGGGTTTTTTTCTCGGATGCTTTTGTTTAAAGTCTGAATTTATAAGCTATTAGCCGGGAGAGGGAGAGACTCGATCACTTGGTTTGGGAAGGAATATGTAACCAGTTTTTTTTTGATTGCTTTTTCTCTCTAATCCTGATGATGAGATTTGCCTTTTGGTCTTTGGGTGGGGGATTGAGGGGTGTGTGGGGGGAAAATGTGGTTTTTTTTTTCTTCTGACATTGTCTAAATAGAGCATGATTTGAAATTCTGTGCATTCTTTCTCCTAGAAATGCAGCCAGAGCTCTGCAAATAGGAATGTCTCATTTCATATAAGCTTTAATTACATTTGGTCTTTTTCCATCCTGCATATTTTGTGTGTTCAGCACATGCCTTTCCTAAAGGCTTTTTTTTTTTTTCCTTTTTCTTTGCAGTGTATGCTACGGCACACAGAACTCAAATTCTAGCAGCGTAAAGATTACTGTGCTTTTTGAATGAGATCAATGCATAGGTTGCTGTGAGTGTGTCGGCAGCATGCAAAGAGGGGGTTTCAAACCCCATTACTTAATAAGTTGAGCAGATCGTGCTGGTTTTTGTTCCGTGTTCCAAGAAAAAAAAAAAAATCTTTTGCTGGGTATTTTGCAGTCCTTGTTCTCCATGGGAAAGGCATCGTCAATGAGCTCTGTAATTTTTACTGACTGAAAAATGTATGGTATTTCTGTCAGGAAAACGCTGGCCATCTTTTCCTATTATGAAATAGAATCTCAAGCCCCTGTGCTGGTGAGAGCGATCGGAGCTGACAGCTCCCAATTCTGCATCAATACCCAATGAAGAAGTTCCACACGGATTTTAGGATGCAAGGATTGCAGAGAATCGGGCTGATTTTAAGTGGACATCGGATGCAAAATGCTGGAGGGACAGGGCAAAACCACTGTGTTTGCTTTCTTTTTCACAGCTGTGTTAATTTAAAAGAAATTCCTTGTTTTGGAGGTGTGTGTTGCAGAGCTAAACATTGTGTTTGAGTGTGGCTGCTGTGAGTGTGTGCTGGGAGAGATCAAGGAATGCAGTAATTTGATGCAGTAAAAGTTGCTTTGCAGAAGTCCTGGCAAACTTAAAGCTCTTGTGCATCAAAATAAAAATGTGTGAAGGAGATTCATTACTAATGGATTTGCCAGAAACAGTCTTAAATAAATTACAAATATAAACCATTTAAATTGTGGTTTCGGAACCTGGGGATCAATGTGCTTTTATGCTCCCTGTTGATTTTATTTACATTTTTCTGCTCTTCACAACATTTCAGTGGTCTCAAAGCAAAAATGTGATGCTTTAATAGTATATGAACCTCATCTATGTTTTAGCATTTGGGCAGGAGAGCTGAAGGTAGTTTTCTTCTCCCCAGATCATGCAGTTTTATTCAAAGCAGGCTGTTTATGCAAGTGTCCACTGGTTGCAGTATACCTTAATTCTGTTTCTCGGTACACAAAAGCAAGAGGGAAAGCAGTGACAGAACCGACAGAAAAAGCATTGTAGCAGGAGAGACTAAAAAACCCCATCCAAGAATATATTCCAGATTGCCTTGATGAATATTGTCGTGCAATTAGCAGGGGAAAAAAAAATAAAGGATGACTTGAACTTCACAGATATTGAAAAAAGCTTCAAAGCAATGAGGTTGTGTCCCTTAAAAATCTTCAACCCTACAAGTCTTCTTAGAGGAAGCCTTAATGCCTTCTCCCATGTAAAAATTTGGGGAGAAGTCTGCAACAGTAGCCCTGAAAATTTCAATTATATCTTCAAGGAAAGCAACCATTTTCTGCAAATCAGATGATGATAAGGATCACTTAGTTACCATTTAAATGCTATGTATAAAGACTTCTTCTAGTAGAGATGAAGCTCCCTGATACATCACTGAAGAGCTGAATTTTTTTTTTTTTCACTGCTTCTCCTTGTTATCACCTGGGATACAGCTTGGATCCCAACCAATGTGCCTATTCCCACTCTGGCATATAATCCATTATCATTTGATTTTCAAAGGCAGGAATTAGAGCAGACAGTAGCAAACCTATATAGCAGCAGCTGGAAGACTGACAACCAGAATTAGGGACCCACAATTAATGGCCCTAAGTGCACTCTCTCAGAGCTCTGACAGAGGGCTATTGAATAAGAAACTCTGCTCTTATCCAAAATTTGGTTGTAAAAAAGAATCCAGGTAGTTTTAAGATGAGAGATTTCAGTGTATGTTTGAGGCTCTGATGTTGAGGCACAGTAGTGACCAAATTCAAGAACTGGGGCATCTGAAATATCTTTTGTAAATTGGTGTCCTACTGTATTTTTGCAATGTACCCTTTTTGCAATCAAACCAAGAATCCACTTTGAAGATGATTGTAATGTAAAGGGCTTAATTTCCACTGTCTGAGCTGTTATCACAGCCAAACTGTTAAGTTTACACATTTTCTGAAGTTTCAAAGCCTCTGGCAAGTCTCTATAAATTAGCAGATTTAAATTAGCTTTATTAAATGTGCTATTATAAAACATTTTAAGAATGGCAAACTAAGTTTGTATGTGTTTAAAGGAGCTTGATTAAATCAATGTAATGTAGGTTACAGAAGAACAACATGAATAAAGTTTTAGAAAGTTTAGGTGGGAATCTCCTTCTTGTAGTCATGATGAGGATAATTCATTGGCAGCAATGGTCAGAATTGTTCAGTCTGGAAAGGAAAAACACCTTTCAATGTGTTTGCTCTACACATTTATAATATTGCATTCAGATTAATCATAGAATCATCAAGATTGGAAAAGACCTTTAAAATCATCCAGTCCAACCATTAAATGTCCCATATAACTTAACTGGCCTCAGAATCATTTAATTCTTTCTAATCCCTTGGATATTCCTTTGCTGTTTGTGCCTGGGTATTCACCTTACCTCAATTTCCAGTCCTGGACAGATGGAGTTGGGACAGAGTGCATAAGACCAGAATGTGGCTGCTGATGTCTAACTATTTATATACACAGCTTTTCATAAATTCTCCACCAAAATATGAAAAGGCAAAACAACCTATTAAATACTGAGTATACTTCTTCCTTTTGGCATTTCCTGAGTGGTTTATATCAGAATAATAAAAAAGTGATGCTCTTAGTGATGATTTCAATTTCCTTTCATGAATGGAAGGACTCAAACCTTGATCTTTGGTAGTCTTTAATTTTCAAGTGTGCTGAACCATGGCATTTTGCATAAAAGAAACATTTAAGAGCATAAAAGGGGGTGGGAAAATATCACCTAAGGTAAAGCAAACTACATCTGTTATTTCTAATGTATTTCTGTTGTGGTCATTCTCATTCTGAACATTTATTGGCTGCCCCTTCTGTATAAAATTTAGGATTTCAGCTGATAAGAAGTCCAGTTCTGTAACATGTGTGTTTTGGTAGATATTAAAATGAGTAACATTATTCAAGATATTGACCAAAATAGTCCTGCTGGCTCCAGATATCATTAAATTCTTACAGTACGTGACAGGCACATTGAATTTCTGGCTACCTTTAAATCATAGATATTCTTATGTAAATGACCTTTTTGTTTTTGACAAGGTGATAAACATTTTTCTGTCTCATTGCAGTTATTCCATCCTCAGCAACCACATTCACTTGCAGGTAGTCATGCACAGCTCTAGAAAGTCACTGACAGAAGAGACCCATGTGCAGAATTGCAGTGCAGAAATGTCAGTTTTTAGGACAACATATCCAGAGTATGAAAAAGTAACTCTCTCCTCCATTCATGACCGATAGATTACTTGAATAAGCTAAAAAAGGACTGGCTCTCTTAAGTATCTGTGAAAATACCTTTGGATTTCTGGATATGATGGCAAAACTCTTGACAATGTTACTGGTTCTGAATGGC